AACTGCTCCTCCATTAAGCAATAATACCTATCCTAAGTTAAGGTCATTAAATATGGAATAAACCTTAAAAATATTAGGGTTAGGTTGCAGCAACCACCACATCGTGGCCACCATATTGCCATGTCATAGTGCTCATCCAAATACGCTTTTCATTTAAGTGCCATGCCACATCATGATCATCAACACACCACGTCATGGCATAAGGATTTTCCTAAAAACCTTATCTTTGACCCCTTTAAGTCTTTAACTGATCAAGTTTGGAAAATGGGTGTTACATGACTCCTTCAAGAATATTGAATATGTGATTCATTCAGGAATCTCGAATATGAGATTCCTACCATAATATTCCAACGAGAATATTGTTACGTAGTTCCATCAGGAACTTTGTTATAGTTTCCCTTTCAGGAAACATTGTTAAGGGTTTCATATGGGAAATTGTAACACCCCGACTCCCAGGTACAAGTTTAAAAGCATTACATGCCTATTAATGGACCTAATCGACGACTTGGTTACCCCTAACTCGTCGTGTAAAGGCGGGTTAGCCCGTTTGGATCATTGGATCTACTCGACGAGTCAGAGGACACAGACTCGACGAGTAGGAGCTGAGAGATGAAACCCTAATTTTTAGGGTTTACACCTTATTTAAAGGAACTTAAGTCCATTCCTCCATTCATTTACCACTCCCTTAATGGCTAAGAGAAACCCTAATCACTATTAACCTTGTTCTTGAGTGATTGTGAGGCTTAAAGAGTGATTTTGGTGCTTTGTGTGAATAAGGTGTGAAGTATAAGAAGATTTGAGCAAAAAGGAGCTTGTGGATCTGACTCTACTTCATCTTGACATCATTTTAAAGGTAACAAGTCATTACCTTGGTTTATGGCCATCTTTAGCACATTTGGGAGTCATTTCGAGTATTGGGACAAGATCTGAAGTTGTAACTTCAGATCTTGACTTCCCTTGGTACCCATAGCGATAAAGTTATAAGATTTGGCAAGTAAGGACCTTCCCTTTGAGTTAACCTTTCCCTTAGTCTAGTTTTGGTATTTAGGAACATGCATGCACGTAAAGTTTGCAACTTTACGTGGAAACCATGTCCTAGGAGGTTGGATATGCAATATGGAGCTTTGGGGTGACTTAAAAACAGTGGCGAGGCTAAGTAGTATCAAGGTGGGTCCCTTGACCCACCTAAATTCAAACATTTTAGAATAATTTATATTAAAAAAAATACTTATGACCTATCCTAATAAGTTTAAAGGACCTACTTTAATGTGTTTGACACAAAGAATAGACGAAAAAAATGATATAAACTACAGACAATCGAAACCTTATCATATTTTTTGGTATGAAGGAGTCCCACATCGACTCCAAGAGGAAAGTTGTGAAAAGATTTTCCATTATAAATAAATGTTTTCTCTTTCACACTTCCACACCATAAGATAAGTTTGTTGATATATAGCATTGAAACCAACTTGCTTTAAGTATAAATTGGTTCTAGTAAAATTTTTTAAGAAAATACTAATTTGGTTCAGTCATTTCACCATCAACTTTTACACATGCTTTACCGGAAACCAATTTTCTCTTGAATCAACCCGATTGAACTCTGTTCGGGAACCATGTGGTTTTCAACTCTAGACTCGCCACTGCTTAAAAACATTTGTATAAGTAATGGACTGCATGAACTCGATGAGTTGCTTAGCCGACTCGGCGATTCGGTTGAGGGTTTCCCGTATTTGATTCTGCATGAACTCGGCGAGTCACTAAGAGGACTCGACGAGTCAGTTAGGGTTTTCCCCGACATTTGGACACACAGGGACTTGATGAGTTTGTTGGAAACTCGGCGAGTTAATTAGGGTTTTGGGTGACTTTTGAGTTCTTGAGGAGCTCTACGGGTTGCTAGCTACACTCAACGAGTCGAGTCAACATGGGATGTTGACTTTGATCGATGACTTTGACTTTGACTTTGACCAAGGGTTGACCAGTTGACTTTTGGGGGTATTTTGGTAATCTGGGAACTTATGGAATTGGATCATTGGTGAATATAGGCGTTGGTGTTGGAGCTGTATTTGGAGGAGATTGATACTATCATTCCGAGCTACTTGAGAGGTGAGTTGTCCTCACCACACTAACAGGGTCGAAGGCACCAATGCCGACCATTTACGGATTTGTATCCGGGTTATTGCATGATATGGTTATTGATTTACATCCTGGTAGTTAGGATGATGATATGCTTAGTGACCTGGTTAGGTCGGTATCCTGGTATATAGGATGATGCTATGTTAGTGACCAGTTAGGCCTGCATCCTGGTTATAGGATGTTGCTACGATTAGTGATATGTTATATCAGTTTGACTGTTATATATGCTAGCGTATGATATTTATGTGCACATGTTTGTTTGATTGGGGGTTGGGTTGAGGCGGTCCTGCTTTGTGCTGAAGGGCAACATACCCGGGGCGGTTCGGATAGACTGAAGGCCTGTGAGGCGGTCCATTAAAGCCGAAGGCCTGGCGAGTGGTCCGGATAGCCTGTAGGCCTTGCGAGGCGGTCCAAACATGCCGAAGGCTCGGAGAGCGATCCAGATAGACTGAAGGCCTGCGAGGCGGTCCACTAAGGCTGAAGGCTCATTATGCATGTTGCTTGCTTATATATTATTGATATGTTTTATGGCATTGGTATTTTGTGGGTAACTCACTAAGCCTTCGAGCTTACATTTATCGATTATTGTTTCAGGTACTTTTGATGATCGCGGGAAAGCGAATGCGTGATCGTACATCTTCTCATATTTCATGATTTTATGATTTAATTTTGGGATACTATGACATTATACTATTTTGGAAACAAGTTTTGTAATAATCATTGGTTTTGAAATGTTTTAAAAAATTTAAAATTGGCATGATTTTGATGGATGTTACAAGTTGGTATCAGAGCCTTGGTTTAAGTGAATTGGAGGAAACACTCGTGTGCCTCCAGTCTCAAATAGAGGAAAAGATTTTAAAACGATTTTCTAAAATGTTTTCAAAATAATAAAGGAGGATGCAAGTGTACGATCAACCGGAGCTCGAGGATAAAACCCAAAATACCTTACAGATTATCTGATTCATGTGATATGTTAGAACAACATGTTAGTACTAGGCTAAGGATCTTCAGGAATTACTTGATAAGAATGCCTGATTATATGATGCCTGATAGACTAGGGTTTTTCCTTATATGAAATTGACATCATTATTGTAGTTGCTTAGTGTATGCATTACGACTGAACATAATTAAGATCTTATAGCCTGAGAATATTTGGTTTAGCTTTATTTCCTGTTCATTGTTTGGTTGTGATCTTAGAGTAGGACCGAGTATTCGAATGTCTATAGGGTCCAACGTTATGTATGGCTAGCATACACGAGTGCTGTAGGGTTGGTGGAAGTTTCATGGGTGGGTTGTGCGAGGTCGGTATACTAGTAAAAGATATTTAGCATTCCTCTAGGAGCAAGGATTGAGCGCTCACTATGTTTATGTATATTGTTACGGCGTCGTGGCGATACTTGAGACACATATGGGTAGGTGTGGAAGGTAGTATGGTCCCATACTACTGAAAGCACAGGACCCATATGAGTAGCAAGGAAGTCACAACCCCTAGGGTTTTGTTGGGAGTTTATTTCCCGTTATTTATACAGATTATCTGATATCTTCCTGGTATATTTTTAGTATGGTGGTTACGAGGCGCTTTGTGACTGGATCCGGATCAGGATCAGGAGCAGGAGATGGTGGTCAAGAGAGACCGACAATGCCCGGGGTTGTTGGTCAGATGAGGGCGAATGAGTTGGACATCAGGCTTCGAGAGATCCTACATGATAAGGTTGTTACTTTGTTTCGGGAACAACTGTCGGAGATGTTTGGGTCTATTAAGACCATCATGGTTGAGTATTTTGACAAGCGCTATGCAGCCCTTATGGAGACGGCTGCCGCAACAATTGCATCAGCTGTAACGGCGGCAGGGGGAGGAGTCAGTCGGGCTTTTCAGTACAGGGACTTCGATAACACGAAGCCCCCTACTTTTGATGGGACTCAGGACCCCATCAAAGCCATGAGGTGGATTTCTGACGTGGAGGGGTGTTTCTTCACATGTTCATGTCCTACTTACCAGAAGGTCGGATGTGCCCTGAACCTGCTGATGTCTGGGGTAAAGGTCTGGTGGAGGATGATGACTGGATCTTACACCAATGAGCAGAGAGTTGCGGTTACTTGGAAGCAGTTTAGGGATATGTTCGACGCACACTACATTCCACGGGTCGAGCGGGAACGGTTAGCTCAGGAGTTCTTGGAGTTAAGACAGGATTGTGAGACGGTGATGGAGATTACCTGTATGTTCACGGAGAGGGCGATATTCTGCTTGGAGTTTGCTGCTGAGCAGACTCAGATGACATGTTATCTGAGCATGCTCAAGATTGACATCCATCAGTTTGTGGCGACCCAACATTGTGATACGCTTATGGAGTTACATGAGGCCGTTAGGCGGCATGAGTTAGAGATTAAGCTGCAGTTAAGGGAGTAACAGCAGGCCTCGGAACAGTCACAGCCGACGCCAAAGCGGTCCTACGATTCTACGTTCCTAAGTATGAAAAATGATATGGATTGCATACGGATCGTATTTGGGATAGGATCAAGATTCGATCCTATCCTACATTCCCTTGATTTTTTGTTTTATTTTATTTTATTTATTTATTTATTTTTTTTGCAAATGAAGAAAATGAATTTACCACTTTATATCTTTTATCCTTTACCTTTGTGATGTGAGTTGTGGCTAAAATTTTGTAGTTTTTATAGTCTTTAAGCGAAAAACTAAATGTTTGAGATAATTTTCATATTTTAAAATAGTTAGTTAAAATTGTGTTTTATTTGTGGGATCTTATCCCAATCCCAATCTTACGATTCCGATATTACAAATCCAAAAATAATTCTACCTAGGATCGGATCTTCACCATCTTGATTATAATTATTTTTCAAAGATAATTAAATGAGTTTTTCTTGGTCTTCCTTATTTAATAATAATAATTAATCTTAAAAATATTTAAGCATAGCATCTACGTATGAGGTTGCAAGTGATTTGTGTGTGCTTGGGATAGAGATATACATAAACAGGCCAAGGTCCTCTTTTCTCTTCATTTTGTGGTGGTCAAGAGGGTTTGTTCCATACAAGAAAACCTAGAATTTTTTCAACGAAGAACAAGATACAGCCTTCACAACTTCAGAGACACCCAAATCTTCTCTCTACTTCTGTCTCTCTGTTCTTCTCCTTTCTTTTCTTTTCCTTTTCACACACCTCTTATCTTCATCATCTTATCTTTATCTTTTCGTAATCGGCGATGGATCCATATTATATGGTTTCTTCAATCATCGAGCTTCGCAAAGGTATGAATTCAGCACATACAGCTTGTGCTACAATCAGATCTTTCGAATTTACTGTACTTTATGAGATCTCTCTGGATTGGTGAATTAATAATGTGTGAAGTTGTGGTTTTAGCTGATTTTATTTTTCTATGATTATTTCCTTTCCTGAGCTCCGTTAGCTCCGTTTGTTTTTATTACAGTAGGTTATGAACGACAAATCATTGTAATTTTAGTTAATTATAATTACGTTGTAATCTGGAGTTCTAGGAAGGAGATTTTGTTGGATCTGGTTTATCGATAACGCTGTAATTTATGAAAAATATCGTCTTGGCTCTTATCATACGAGTTTTTTGAAGGTTTACAATCTTAAGTCTATAGTAGGTTGTTTCCAATGGAGCTTATCTTATTTTTGGTGAATCATATGATATATGTGTATTGAATAGTATGTTGACTGCATTTGTTTGCTGTGTTGTTTGGATAACAGAAATTGTGAAATGCAATTTTGAGATTTTTTTGTTTGGTTTATGGTCTAACATATGCGTTTTGCAGGATTTGGGTAATAAGAGCTGCAATTTGCTGCTTCAGTTTCAGAGTGTTATATTATATGCCCTTAGATTCCTTTCTGTTTATTGACCTTGAAGAATAATGAGCTTGTCCAATCAAGGGGCTTCCGCCATTGACAAAAAGCTCATCACAACAGGGAAAACAATACGTTTAAATCCAGATGCAGCAGAATTTGTTCCATTTGCTCTAAGATCACCTTCTGCAAGTGTTGCTGCTCCTGATGCATCTTCAAGTTTTGGTAATTTTGGTGCTACAACACCAGGGAAAGCAGTACTAGACAGATCAGAGTCATCTGTATCAAATAATTCAGATGATGAGGCTCACCAATACTGGCGTCATCAGCTACCTGATGACATCACTCCCGATTTCAATGTTGCAGGAGAAGAAGATCCTCAAGGAATCAATACACTTCCTTTCTCAACCTTATCTTTAGCAGATGTCAATGAGACAAACGGAAGTAGCTTTACCAAAAAGATGGGCTATCCCATTTCATCTTCCTCAGCTAGCTTTCAACCTGCTAAACCCTGGGACATTCATGGTGATCAGCTGCACAATGGGCCTTCCTACAATGGTGATCCTGTCCATGGGTACCTAGATGATATGCTTAATGAGCAACAGATGGAAGGCACAGAAGTAAACCCTCTTGAGTTTCTGGCTTCCCAGTTTGCAGGTTTTGCAGCTGAAAGTCTTGCAGATGTTTATTTTGCAAATGGAGGTGACTTGAATTTGACAATTGAGATGCTTACTCAGCTTGAGGTATGTCATATATCAGTATATCCTACCTTTAATTTCTGATGTAAAGATTTTTATTGATGATTTTCACATTCTAATTGCAGCTTCAAGTAGATGGTGGTGGTTTAAATCAGAATCTAAACTCAAAAGCTCTATCTTCTCCAAATCTTAGTGCTATGGATTTTCCTGCACTTTCTCCTACAGATGATCAAAATGGTGTCCAACAGCATATTAATCCTTATCGTCCTTTAGAGAAAGAGAACCTGCTGATGTTCAAATCTTCATCAGGTGGTGCTCCACTTCCATCTGGTGGTGCTACAGATTTTGCTTCTGCTGTTAGAAAAATGGCTTCACAGGACTCAAGCATATGGAAATATAACAGAAACCCTTCTCAAGATTCCACCATTGGATCAAGTAGAAGCTCTCATGTCTTGGCCAGTGCTTATAATAATGGTGGTCATGGAAGGGTTGGTTATGGAGATAGATTGGGTGGCCGGAGTTCAAACCGCTCAGCCCCTGTTTGGCTTGAAACTGGAGATGCTGTTGGTATAATAATAATTAAATCCTCTTTTCTTGATTAAACATAATAACAATTGTTAAAATAGTTTCTTTTAGTTGTATGAATGAATACTTTTTAACTTTTGTTGACATGACATAACAGCAAATATGTATTCTGAGATGCGTGGTGAAGCTCGTGATCATGCACGTCTACGAAATGCATACTTTGAACAGGTATATATAATAATAATTATATATATATATATATATATTTTTAAGAGAAGAAAACAATTATATATTGAAATGAATTTAATCACATAATTTTAGGCTAGACAAGCTTACCTTGTTGGATACAAGGCTTTAGCAAAGGAACTAAGTGTGAAGGGTCAGCTACACAACATGCAAATGAAGGCTGCTCATGGAAAAGCTCAAGAATCCATATATCGTCAAAGGTTAATTTCGTCATTTCCGATTCTCAATTCCTGACCCGGTTGTTCTGTAATTATTTTGTTTTTGGAGGGCAGGAATCCAGTGAGTCCAAGTATGCAAGGAAGAGGGGGAGGAGGAGGATCACAGGAAAGGCTGATAGACCTTCACGGGCTGCATGTCACAGAAGCAATCCATGTCCTGAAACGAGATCTCACAATGCTTAGAAACGTTGCCAGGTCAGCAGACGAGCATGTACAGGTGTACATATGTGTTGGAACGGGGCACCATACCCGTGGGACCCGCACGCCAGCTAGACTCCCGGTTGCGGTCCAGAGATACCTGCTTGAAGAAGAGGGGCTTGACTACTCTGAGCCTCAGCCTGGGCTCCTTAGGGTCCTGCTGTATTGAAGACAACACCAGCCACCAGGTATTATATACTACTTCTTTTTGACACAATAAAAAAAAAGATTTAAAAAAGAAAAAAGGCTTTAACCCCATGAAAATTGGAAGTATTTGTTTGTATATGGGAAGAAAGAGATTAGTTGGTAGCCTGAAAAAAGAAAAAAAAAAAAAAAGAAGAAGAAGAAAAAAGTGTATCTGTGTATGATTTAAGGTGTAACCATGTGTTTTGGTTTTGGGTAGGAGGGAGGATTCGTTGCTTATTTTTTGTTAACTCAACTCAACTGTACTGTAATTTTTTGTTACACAGTTTGCACTTTGCAGATGTAATGAATGTATGATGATTGATAGAATTGTTTTATATCATAGATTTTTCCAAAACTTAGTCATTTGTTCTTTGGAATCGTGTTGAAAGTGGTTATCTTATTAATCATATTTGAAAAAAGGTTTGTGGCCCAGCTGTATTAGGTGGTGGTGGAAAGGGGCCACTCAGTCAAACGTTAAGGGTAGTGTATAGAGGTTGTGTAAAAGATTTGAAAATATAATGCTTAATTTTTGATGTTATGGTGACCTTATAAGTATCTAAATCATGAAAAGGTCATTTAATCACTTTAGAATAACCTACAGGACTAATGCCATTAAGGCTCTACGAATCTTGGCAATTCTTTTAAAAGGTCCATAATGTTCTTTTGTTTTGTCAAAGGGATTAAAGTTCATTTTCCTTAAAAAAATCATTTAAGAAAAATGAAAGGTAACTGTTACCTTTGCCTTGTCATTAGTGAGATAGCCACATGGATGAACATGGATGTATCATGTATGAAGGCATTCTCCTTTTGTATTTCTTTTGTATTTTGTTTACTTTGAAATTGAGATGGCCCACCTCACATCGCGATGTACCCTCCAACCCGCTCTCGTCTTCATCCTCAAATCATATAACGGTACTGGCCTCATATTTTAATTGAACATAGCAAACGTGAGGATGTTCAAATCGGGTTTAGGTCTCCCTAAAGTTCCATCATACTATTTAGCATTTTCATGGATTGCTCTTGTTTTGTTTTCGCCTCTCTTAAACGCCCTTCCCATCTCCATGATCCGAATTGACAACATCTTGTAAGTTGACATTAATCTCATTATCCTTTCTCCCAACCTTTCTATTAGTTAGAAACATCAACGGAAAAGTCAACCATACATAAAAATAAAACATGATAACAATTAATCCTCTTTTCTCCCTTCTACCTAGCTCTCTATCATCAATGTGCACACACACACACATATATATATATATATATATATATATATATATATATATATATATATATATATATATATATATATATATATATATATATATATATATATATATATATATGCATGCTATCTTCTTGTATTGAATCTTGAAAATTTAAAACTAAAGGCTACCTTACTGAGTAAGAATATATTCATGAGTGTTTTTTCAGAACATACAAGTCGTCTTGTAACCTAATGATGTGAGACAAAATGATTACTGGAACAACAATTCAAACAATTTAGCTGAAACATTACAAAAATTAAGAGCAACTTATTTTGGATTAGCCTTGTACATGAAGAATGGATAAACATCGGTGGGAAATGAGAGCACATTTTCTTAAGGAAATCCAAGACAAGAGCCATACTTCATGTTCTTCCACATACGATTAATCTCTAGACCCATTCATTTAAACATGTTCATCCACATTTTTTTAGGTGACATTACAATCTTTTACAATAGGTTAAGGGTCAAAATAATAGGTAAAACGAAGTTTATGCCCCTAGACTACAAATTTTTTTTATGGGTCTTTTAAAACAAAATGACAAATTTGTAAGGTCTCAATGACATTATTATTAATCTCTATCTATATGAGATTATTTGTTGGTGGTGATTACTTCATTAAATAATTTGAATTTATTATTGTTGAACTTATATTTTAAGTATTTAGCCCACAAGTTATTAAAAAAATTTGGGTTTGCAAAAAAAACTTATGGTTGAATTTTTTTGATTTATGCGGGTACGTAAGAGACTGCAGATTGCGCAGAATCGGCAGAAGAGTTACACAGATTGACGTCGATCCAATCTTGAGTTTCAAGTGGGGTAACTTATGTTTTTGAAGGTGTCGTCTTGGAAGGGTGACATACGGTTTCAGAAGCGGGGCAAGTTAGGCCCCAAGTATATCAAACATTTCAGGATCATTGCTTGGGTGGGAAAGGTTGCCTACCATTTGTAAGCATCGAGATTTGGGCCTATTTAATGGTACAAACCCCTAAGGTTTCGTCATTCCCTTAGCCTCCACTTCTAGACAGAATCCATTGCAAACCATAGCCTCCTCCTCTTGTATTCTTGAGCCTTGTGTTCTTGTTTGTGTATCTTAAAGGAGAAAAGAGAGCCTTGTAGTGCAAATAAGTTTGATTCAAGAAAGATCCAACCATTTAAGCATCTCGAGGACCTTTGTAAGTCTTCTAACTTGGAGGTTTATGTGCTTACATAGTTGCATGTTTAGATCTAGAAATTTATGCATTATTATGGACCATTTCATGATATTTATAGGGAGTTCGGAAAACTCTGCATCAAAATCTTGAGTCTTTGGGTCTTTTGGACCCATAGGAGTGTAAGCCTCTAGTTTTCATCTTTCCTTTTGAGCCATGCAAGGCCTTGGGTGTATTTTGAGCTAAATATAGATCTCGGGTTAGTACTAGGTTGGTTTGATGCATGCAAATGGATAACCTTGGAAACTTTATCCATTAAGTTCATATTATGTAGTATTCTTGAAGTTTTGAGCTTTAGTCTTAAAGGATTAATACCTTAATGAAAAGTTGGCTGACTTACAGTGAATCGCGACGCGACCATAAGGGGGTTGCAATGCAAGTCGCGATGGCTAGTTGTGACTATTTTGTCACTTAGTGATCGTGATGTGACCTGGGTAAGAGTCACGACGCATGGCCGTTTACTTTGACCGGTTGGCCATTAACCGTTGGCTTTTTGACCAATTTGAATTTTTATCAAACTTGGTGAGTTTAAGTTTTAGCATGAGGTTTGACCTCTGTTTGTTATCTAGGTGGTTCGTGAGACTGATCCTTGCATGTTTGAGCGTGTACCTGTGTTTCATCAGTTTTCAGTTCAGGTGAGTTATCTCACTATACTACGTATTATATTATGTATCCTTTGTGTGTTAGGGTGTAGATGTATTGCAGTATGCTGATTAGATAAGTAGGCTAATATAGACTTTCGTCTGTTTATTATGTGATTGGTTTGACTGTTTGATTGTATGATATGTCGACATATTATGTTGAGGGGTTGATAGTGGATTAGTGCTCGAGCTGAAAGCCTAGATACTTAGGGTTGATGGTGGACCAACACTGGAGGTGAGAGCCTAGATACCCAAGGTTGATGGTGGATCAACACTGGAGTCGAGATCCATTGACAGGGTGGATCGTTACTGGAGTTGATAGCCTTTGCTTGTATGGTGGATCTACAGTAGAGCTAAGAGCCTTGTGTGTATGCATTGCATATGGTATTTCGAATAACTCACTAATTACGCTTACAGTTGTTGATTTAATGTTTTTCAGGTAGTTCCTCTGATCGGGGGAAAGCTTTGACTGTATGGCATGTACATTGCTATTGATTTATTATAGACTCCTGTTGTTTTGACGATTTGATACGTTTTGGTATTATGACATGATGATGTTTTGAAACAATTTATTACTTAATCTTTTTATAAAAACAATTGGAGCGGTTTACTTATATTTTTAAAGGAAAATTTTGGCTTGAATTTTTTACTCATTACATTAATTCTAGTATCGATGTATTAATAAAAATTAAGTTATAATTGGTATTGTACCAAAAAAAAATTGTGATCATATTTGAAAACTAGTTCATTTTGGTAATATCTTTGGCTCTTGATTCTATCTTACGATCATAATCTGCAAAATGCGAAACAATCTTAAATAGGTCCGATCTTGGCAACATTGATTTTAAAATTTTTGAAAATCCAAGGAATAGAACATTTAGTTTATTTATTTTTCTCTTATTTTGTCATCTCATTTCAACAAAACAATTCAAAACCCGAACATATTCTCATCATAGAAAAATATTTTCTCAATTTGTAGGTTCCATCACTTTTAGTCTATATGATCATATTCTTTTTAAAGTAGACCAATATATTTAAAATTAAATTATAAGTAGACCTTTTAGTCATGTTGAGAGGGAAGCCTCCACCCTTATGCACATTATACACAGCGACACAAACACAGACGCCTCCATTGTGCTGCTTCTCTCGATCGTTGGCTCCTCAAGCGACGAGTCCTCCCCTGCTCGCCGCCGTTAACCGGCGCCTCCCCTGTGAAGCCACCGGCCGGTGACCGTCTCCCCCCACAGCTACACCGGAGACTTCGACCTCACAGCTACAGGTTCGGTTTTTTCTTTTCCTGCTGTCAGTCTTCCTTCTTCTCCCTGCTTTGAAGCTATAGTTCTGAATTTGTGTCAATTGATGCATAACTCATAAAAGAGCTGTAAAGTAGAAACATTTGTAATGAAAGTAGTTTATCTTTGAATGTGAAATTGGATTTGATTTTGAATGAAATACCGAGATGTTAAGCATGTATGTGTTTGTGCTTCAATTAGCAATTGAACCTATATGTTAAACCTGTAACAGTAGCACCCAAAATTTCTGTTCAATTCTGTTATTGTCAAGCCTGGGCATGCCTCCTGTTGTTTTTGAATGATGTTTTTGCTTATATGATACCTTAAATGTAATTTAGGTTATGGACACCAACAATGTTAAATTTCCACCCACCCAGATCATCAACAATGCTTAGAATTAGAATTGATTCATTGATTGTATTACTTAAATATGCAGTAGTTAAAGTTTTTTTTGTCTAATAACCCCTGATTTTCCTGTTACTTTTCAGACTTCTTCTTTGTCTCCAAAACCACCACAACACCACAGTTGCCTCCACAATCACCACCTTCTTTAGTGGGTGAATGATTGTTTGATGATGAACACCTCAGAGGAATGGAAATCCTTGTGGTCAATCTCTTCTGTACACTCACCACCACTTCTCCTCTCACCTGCCACCACAACCGATGCTGTCAAAAAAATTGGACCTTTGATCTTTAACCCCTCTCCCAAATCACATACCCACAATCATCTCTTCACTTCACCTTCTGTTCCTCACATCCCTCCACCTGTCTCTAACCTCTCCCTCTCTAGATTCCTCCATAAATCATCATCTATCCTTCCTTCCACAACCACTTCTATCGCCTCACAACTCTCCTCATCATATTCAAACCCCAAAACTTTTCTTCCATACAACTCCCTTCAATTGCTGCGATGCCCTGGTTCAAATTCAACTCTGGCATTCTTTCCCACTGGTTCCAATTCGGATAAAATTGGATATGTTATATTATCTGTTAAGAATTCCCAATTGAAAGTCAGAGGAGATCATGGTGGGACCGAAGCTTTTACCACAAAAAGTGCATTGAATCATCGGATTGTCAAGATTTCAGTTAGCCCTCTTGCTGATTGTGATTGTAATCCAGGTAATTATTGTGTTTTATCAATTCGACACTAGATTATATAAAAAAATTCACCTGTTAGCATCAGATTGAAAGAAAAGTAAGTTATTGGTTTAGGTTTTGACTTTTGAGCTGTGAGAAATTACTGATCCCACTTGGCTATTCGTTTCAGGTGATTCTACCACCATTGGGTATTTGTTGGTTTCAACGATGTATTCAGTTCATTACTATGACATTAGAATCACAATGGAGAATTCTGGTAAAGTAACACCATTGTTGACATTAGTTGCTGACAACTTGTTCAAAAGATCTGTAGTTGTGCATGCTTGTTGGAGTCCACATTTACCTGAAGAAAGTCTTGTATTGCTAGATAATGGTGATTTGTTCTTATTTGATCTGGATTCTTTCTCTAGACCCTCATTACCATCTCCAAGGTTAAAGGGTGAAAAAGTCAAAGTTTTATGGGATGAGTCTACTGTTTCTGAGAAAGGTGGATGGTTGAGCTGTGATTTCAGTTGGCATCCAAGAGTTCTGATTGTTGCTCACTCTACTGTAGTTTTTCTTGTTGATTCACGCCCTGAAAACTGCACTATCATTCCTTTGTTGAAACTTGGCATTGAGCATGCAACAAATGATAGATTTCTTGCATTTTCCATTTCTGCCCCTGATCGTTTCCATTTCACTTTGGCATCCACTCACACTGTTTTCCTTTGTGATATAAGAAAACCAATGATTCCACTTCTTCGTTGGACACATTATCTTGCTAACCCAAGCTACATTATTGTTTCTAGTTTATCCAAATTTAGGTCACAATCTGAAGATACTAAATACAATTGGGCTTCTGAATCAGGTTATGCCATTTTATTAGGGTCTTTTTGGAACTGTGAATTTAGTCTTTTTTGCTATGGCCCAGATGTTAGAACACCTTCTTCTTCTTCTTCTTCTTTTGGTAATTCTTTTTATGCATGGGGACTCCCTTCTGATCTTTCTCTGCTCCCTAATGAATGTGGTTGTGGTAGTTGCATTGTGAAAGAGGAATTTTTTAAGGATAGGCTTCCTAGTTGGATCAATTGGCAACAAAAGAAAGAATTTGTTTTAGGGTTTGGGATTCTTGATAGTGAAATCTCTTCTCAGTTGTTTGAAGCTGATGGGTTTGGTGGGTTTACTCTAATTACATTAACGTCCTCAGGGAATCTTGAATCACATCGATATTGTGCTTCATGGGATTATTCTACACAAGCTTCAGAAAATGGGCATGGAGAACACTCTCTGGATTTAGAAGATTCTTTTCTGTATGAAACAGGTGAAGAGGATTACAAGTTTACAAAACAATTCCAGTATTTGAAACTTGATTGGCTCGAAGGATACTTGAGATCTGATCTTTCCAGAATCTTGAGTAGAGAACTAGTTAAGAACCTGAATAAAGAAACCCAAAAAAACGTCTCTTTTGGTGATGATTTTCATGAAGTTATATGCCAAAAGATTAAGACTTTTAGTTCTGGTGGATCTTTAAATATTCATGATGTGTTTCGTGATGTTAGCTTGCCAACTAGCATACATGAGATTGCTTTAAGAAAGATGTGGGGAAATCTACCCAAGAAATATTTACGATTTGGGTTCTCTACTTATTCAAATCTTCCAGATTTACCCATGAAACTAAAACATTTACCTTTAGAGTTCTTGGAAGTTCCATGTCATCAATCTCATCTCCCTCCTTTTTTCTTTCGATCACCTTCATTTCGAAGTAGTAAATGGTCAGACAAGAAAAAGCCCAGTAGTTCTTTAGTGGGACCCGTTGTTCCAATCCCATTTTTGCTAACTTTTCATAAAACCCACATGTTAAAAGCTGATAACATGTCTGCTGATATTGAAATCGATCGAGAGTGTGATGAAGTAATGAAGGTGGCTAATGAAGTCATTGCATCAGAGTCTGAATCTGAAGGTTTTAATGTCACTGCTGTTTCACTTGCTGATGATACTGAAGATGTGTTATATGGTTCTCATAATCAAGAAATGTTTGGGTCTTATAAGTTGAAAATGAAGGATTCTGTGTTTGAGGATGAGAAGCATACGAAAGTTGTTTTTAGGATTGGTCAAAAGGATGTGAAAGAGATTTTTGACTCGAGTTGCCCTTTGAAATTTAAATTTGATGAAGAGGTTATGAGTTTTGGGCCAAAAGAATTGAAGTCGTACAAGTTACTTAAGAGACAATATTCCAATTTCAAGGAAAGTTTTAGTTGTTATCAAGACTACAAGGCTAAATCTAATATCCACAGTAAGTCTTCAATTTAAATGTGGTTTCGATTTATCAGAGGGAGCATTGAAAGAACTTGAAGGTAATAAGTTAATAAATATATATAATTTGTTATATTATTTATACATGTACATACAAATTTTCTAACTATTAATTAGTATATTATATTTCAGATGAAAAACAAGGAGAGGAGAGCCCAAGGCATTTGATCAAAGGGTTGCATGCATACCATAAACAATTTTTTTTGATCTTGTTGCCACTTGTCACCTGTCTAAAAAGTTAGATGAAAGGAAATAGGTGACAACAATCATATAAGAGTAAATAATATACCAGGAAAATCGTTTCATATAAACTTCTTAAAGTTAATATCTATATGAATTGTGATCGGAATGTATCGGCTATATTTTTCTAATCATTCTACTTCAGTTTCATATATGAGAATTAAGCTAGCGTCTATCTAATCTTCTACACTCAACAATGATACATTTATCCTTTGTTTTCTAATCATTCCACCTAGGATTGGGATGGTATTTTTTTTTTCCTAATTTATTTATACGAACGGGTTCATGAACACTAGATCTAGCCGGTCAATATGAATTTTCAGTCGAAGACTATAGTTTTTGGAAGTCAAGATATTCACAAAACCGTACATTAGGGTTCATGAACACTAACACATACACAAATGGACACAAATCTAGCTTTTTTTAGGGATTTGTTCTTGAAATCAATTTTAGACTAAGATTATGATATACTAGATACACTATGATTTCTCCGGATATTGTTATTATGAGTTTTTTTTTTTTTTTTTTTTTTTTTTTTTTTTTTTTTTTCCTTTAAAATTAGGGAAATTGAGTAATATAAGAACTTACTTTTGGTTTTTTTTTATAAATAAAACCAAGTTTTTTTTTTTTGAAAACTAACATTTTAGTTCGGAATGGGTAATTTCGGTCCCGAATACCAGCCGAAGCCCAACACTCTAGCATATATATATATATATATATATATATATATATATATATATATATATATATATATATATATATATATATATATATATATATATATATATATATATATATGGGTTCATGTGAGACGGTTTAATTTTGTAAGACCGTGAGATACAATCCTAGTTATTCATTTGGTAGATAAAACAAAAAACATTTTTAAAATGCAAAATAATTAAAATTTTTTGAAATTTATATTTTCTACAAAAAAAATATAAAAAAAATACATTTTTTACATATTCTAGTAGAATAAATATAATATTCTATATATCTGAGAAAATCTAGTATAATATTCTAACATTCTAAAGTCACATTAAAATATTTACAGTGTAATATTCTATTAGAATATTTCATGTATTTTAAAAAAAATGGTAATTTTTATTTATTTATTTTATTTATTTTTTATTTATGTTTATTATTTTAGTTAATTAAAGTTCCGAAAATAATAATTAAAAAAAAACTTTTGGATTTTTCATTTTATTTTGTATTTTAAAATTATTTTTAGATTTGGTCTCAATTAGCATGGTCTCAAATGAACTTGAAGTTTTTTTAATATATATATATATATATATATATATATATATATATATATATATATATATATATATATATATATATATATATATATATATATATATATATATATATGGGTCTCCCACACAAAAAATCCGGAATACGAAATACATGTTCTGGAATTAGCAGATCCGAAGCACGATCTGCCCGCATTTCGAACCAAAATTTGAACATGGATTCGTTAAATAAGTAAGTTCTACACTTTAAGTTACTTTGCATTTGATTTTATGAAATGATGTACGTAATCCGAAATTGCACAGAATGGTCCGGAACACGAAGAACAAGTCTGGAACAACTCCGGAATATTCAGATTATCCTTTTTCTTTATGTTTTTCTCGTTATACGTGTATAAATGTTATGCAAGTTTGTATTGTGTTTCTGATCGATTGTTTTATTCCGGAATAAGGTATTGTAGGGGTTTCAAAATGGTAATGTAGGTCCGGAACACACGATGAACATGGTCCGACACCTGATGATCTATTCCAGAATGATGATATGAAATAACTACAATATATAATTTTTTTTCCTTAAGTATTGTTTAATAAACCATGTTAGTCCAAAGACGAGTTAGCGTGGAGTTAAAAAAAAAAGTGGGTTTTACGGACGACGAAGTTGTATTCCATTTACATGAACTT